TCTTCAAACAGTAAAGGCTTTAATCTTAAACTTTTAAAGATAAGGGGGAAGCTAGTGTTGTATTTGTAAAGTTGCTTCATATAGCAAATGTAACCAGTCCACAAGTGACTGTGAATAATATTTACTGAAGTGATGGGGTTAGATGGAATTGGCCTTTTTTATTCAGACCAAGTGCAAAACTGAGAACAAAAGTTCTTTTTATTCAAAGTACTAAGTGTGTCTCACTTATAATATCACTGTTCTACAAACAAACAAAAAAACCTACATATTTACAGAAGAAAAACTATTTAAACTAAACTTTTCTTCAAAGGTCATCTGTCTGCAGCTGAAATGCTATTTTCTCTACTCATTTTTATGCTTGTTTGGCAATTCTGAGGCTCAATACAACAAATGTTGCATGTTGTACCACTGCAAATCTTTTGAACTGAAGTCTTTTTTCCTAGTTTTAATTCACAGTAAATTAGTCCTAAATAAGGCAGTGAAGAACTAGACAGCTTAATGCAACTGACAAAGTCTGTCTGAAGTCCAACTTCCAGTTAAATCTAAAATAGTTAAAGGATGACTTTGTGAAACTAGCCCCTTAGGCTGACTAATTTCATAAAACAATTTCTTTAATTCAGGCTGAACTACAGTACAATACAGTACATTTGTGCCTTGAGTTTAGAAATAGCATTCTATGTTCCCACATACAAAAGACATAGAGACCTCAACTCCTTTACCTGAGCTGGTGCTGAAAAAGGATCAGTGAAGTATGTACACAAGCAAAAACATGTAGGTTTCGACAGGCCCATGGAACACCAGCAGTATCAGAGCATTTACAGAGAGTCAACAAGTGCAATGATAAAATCAACTATGAAGTCCTCCACACCGGATATGTAGTACACCCACTTCCTTTCTTTAGCCCAGACATGAACACATTCTGAATTAGAGCATTAAAAGGCATTTTGATTCATTCTTATTTAAATGCACAGACAAGCTGTTTAAGCATTGAAGGTCACAGAAAGGAATATGTGGCAAATCTGCTGCTCTGCAACCAATGTGTAAGGTCAGGAAGGTCTACAGAAAAACTCAAAGGGTTGACACTGGGCCAAGGAGAAGCATGTATAAGTCTGTCATTCAGGACATCTAGTGTGCCATATTACCAATCAGTACTCCTACACAAACCATTCAACACCTTAAGAATCTCTTGATTCATCCTAAAGACAAGACCATAAACAGATAAAGACTGAATGGTGTATGACATCACCTGAAACAGCTGTTGGATACCTTATATAGGTTATGACCCATGGAGATATGAATTACAGTCAAAGCACATAACAGTAACATAGTAGCAGGTTTACCTGTGCCATTTATAGAACTGCAACAATTGGTCAAGTAACAAAGTAATTAGCAACTATATTGATAATTTATGTCATTTCTTATTAAAAAAATGTTAAACATTCTCTAGTTCAAGCTTCTCAAATGTTTCACTTTGCTGTTGTTCTCACTCATGGTGTTACACAGAGAAGAGAAGCTGGAAGACCTCTGTCCTCTGAGAAATGACAAATGTCATTTTTCTTTCAGCAATTAATTTGATTAATTGAGACAGTAACTAGCAGATGACTCAGTAATGAAGATAAGTGTCATTTGCTGCCCTGGCCATTTTTCATTATGATTCTGAGATGGGTTCGTAATATGCAGGAACATAAAGGTCATCTAACAACCTGCAGCTCAGTGAACAGTTTCTGCTTATCAGACTAATGTCTAGTAATTTGGATTCATTAACTTTGGCTCTTTGTTGCCGTGCTTTCAGACCACGCTCCAGTCTGCACTACATAATAATGTTGTCCCATCTAGACAAGCTTCCCCCCGAATAATAAAGCATTTTAGCCACAGCCTAATGGATGAGCTTCCTGCAACCTTCAAGAAATGTTTAACTTAATCCATCCCATTTTGTCTTACAGAGCCAAACAATATTAGCCTCTATATTGCATAGATTCAGTGTGGCACCAATGCAGAGTGAGGCCTTTCTCCTTTAAAGGCAGAGAGGAGTAGGGTCCATTAGTGTGAACCAACTACTAAAACCCACTGCATTTAAACAAACAACAGTGATAAACAAAAAAATGATTTCTCTTAACTCAGATAAGCACACTACTGAGCTCTCTCATCAGTTCTCCTTCTGCACTGTACACCTTACGTATCTGTTCAAAAGATTTTAAGCACATATTTTTTCCTCTTGAAAGTCCAGAGGCCTTGTACAAAGTCCCACTGGTGGCACCTACAACTTTGCTGGTTAATAGAAAGAACACAAATGTATGTTTCTTTACAAATCTCAAGATTCTCTATGTTAATATTCGTGTAAATCCAAATTAACTTGCAAAAGTTAAATCATCCTAACCCGGCCACAATAATTACAGGTACAGGCAGCTTCTTCCTTCTGTCTGCAGCTGAAATTAATAAAGCACCTCTCATACATCCTGGTAGTAAATTGGCAGCAGCAAATAGATGAGTTCAAGGGCTGAAAATACATGGCTCAAGGCAGAGAGGATAGATAGGACCCTGTCCAACCAGGCAGTAGATAGAAGAGTCACTTCCTGACAGTCACTTTTTAATCTTTTCAGTCATAAATCACACCCATGTAATTAAAACCTCACAGTGTGTTTACGGATTTCATCCATTTTCCATAAATCTACCACACAAAGTGTGCAAAAATTGAAGGGGCAGGAATACTTTCTGAAGCCAAGGTAAAATCGGAACCTGCAAACCTAATGATGCATCTGCAACTAACTGAGCAAACAAGTATTTGTCAAGACTACAGGATGTTATCGATGGTGCAGTTCTCATCCACGTCCATGAACAAAATGAGTTGCTCTAAAAGCGGGCTGATCAAAGACATGAAAAATAAAATTAAACCTACTTTTTGTAATTTCTCAGGTCATAAAAGATGCACCTAATAATTACAGCACCATCTGTTTGAAGGTGAGTAATGAGGCATCGCTCACACACTCCAAGTGAATGCACTATTTTTATACTTACAATAATATTTGCAAATCACAGGCCTTATAATTATTTTGACAAGCAGTGTAATATATGGCGCACCTGGGAGGGTCAGGTAAGCAGTTTAGCTGTTCAAAGACATGTACCAGCATTACTGATAGCTGCGCCTTATCTGTTGCCGTGGCAGCTGTTGTAAACAGCGAACTAGATAAGAGTCAAAACATTTTAGACAGTATTTGCATTGAGAAATATGATAAAAGCTATAGCACCCTTCGAGATTTGGTGATGCCGACAAAGGCTGGGTGCATTATGTAGCTCCTGCACGAGCAGGGCCGTAGAACATCATATCAAGTTTTATAGCTACATATAAGGTTAAATAAGGTGCTTTTGATGCATTATACTACAATGAGTCCTCAGTGTGGTTAGCCAGCTGTTATTCTTCAGTCACGCAAACAAAAAGGCACAAATGGAAATATCATTAAACCAAATTAAATCAGCACTGTTTTCTGTGTCTAAATGTGAATTATTAGTCCAGAAACATGGATCATAATGTTGATGAACATCGTTACCAGCTCACCCTCAAACATAACTTCAACTATGGAACAAAAGAAGCCATTCCCATTTTGATGTGAAGCATCATTCTGTTGATTTTCCACAGCTCTTTAACTCACACACCATCACTTTCACAGAAAACAATGTTATAAATAAAAGTATCCAGTTCAGATGAATCACTTCTGATTCTGGCCCAGACAAGCAGAAGTCATGCATTCAGTGGAATCATTCTGTGATTTTCACTGTTCTGTTTTTGCAAACATACTACTGCACCCCAGAGTCTGCCAGCTTCTCATTCATCACAGCTGATATCTCCTATGAGCGCAACACGGGCGAGAAACCAAAGCACTGCTATCTCTTTATGAAATATGAAACATCTCATGCCTTAAATGTGATAAAGGGTTATGGCAGAGCGCGGATGGAATGCACATATGCGCATGCAAAGTAACCTGCATCACATTCTGTATAAATGAAATGTGTTGGCGGGAGGTTGCAGCACCGAGATCTTTAATCAGTGTCCCCGCTGCCACTGAGGCTGGGGACCATTAGCACCAGTGAGCCAAGTAAAGTGACTGTGATGTGAAGTGACAGGGGCTTTCACAGAAGCTGTCCTACTGTTTCCTTCATCGTCATTCACATACAGCAACGAGCCACACCAGGCAACCAAGTGCACTCAAACTGATTTCTGTTCAAAAATGGTCTTGATTCGTTCATTTCAGCAAAGTCACAAAGCCTTTTAGCTCTTAAACTATGCCTGTATCCTTCCTTCTTTCTCACTTCTTGTCTCCAATCAGCCAGTGACTGTGTGAGAGATGTGAAGTGCTTTGACAGCATCCAATATAATATTGACAACCTGTATACATTGTGAAGTGACAGAAAACAATACCCAAACGTAATCAAGGAAAACACTGTATAAAACATGTAAAAACGTGTAGTTTTTTCCAGACTACTGTCTCAGTAACAAGGCTGTACAGTGCAGGACAGGCTTTGTATCTGTAGTCTCTGAAATGGGCGTCGCCTCATGCCTGATCACCATCCCTCTGCACAGGCTCCTGCACAACATGGCTAAAATGTGATGTTGATGTGGCACAGCTGGCGCTTTGTACAGCTTCCAAGGGACATAGGCCTTGGGTAAACCTACCACGAACTTAGGTTTCACACAAGATTTAATCTGCCATCACACAGATGGGCTGAGCATTAATTGGGTTAATGAGGAATTAAGACTTGGATGATAAATCAGGATTTAACAAGAAACACTTTTTAATAGTTTTAAATCCCTGATAATAATCATCTAAAGGCGCTCGTATGGATGAGCCACTTCAGGGTACATCCCTGATGCGCTACATGCCAAGAGAACACGCGACCGGGGGGGTGGGGGGGACGCCTTCGTCTCCACTTGCACATGAAACTTTTTGTTTTCAGCGAACTGAATCGTGCCGTGGAACACTGGCTGATACTCTGATACTGCCTACCTCTCTCCTCCGGCTCTCTGCCCCGGGTCTGGTGATGAGCGCCGTGTCCCCGCATACCACCGCCGCGTCCTCCACGAACACGCAGTCCGGGAACGTCTCGTCTGCGGGGAGCTCGATCACCTCCAGCCCGAGCCTGGTCCTCAGGACCTCGACGTACACCTCGTGCTCCCTCCGTGCCTTGGCCAGGTCCACCACCTCTGACTGACTGCTCCGGAGCGCCTCTTTGGCCATGGACGCAGAGATTCCCCGGACGACAGCGTGGGTGTAATGACCATAACCTGCCATTAAACCAGCCATGTTAGCGTTCCCTTTACTTGACACCCTCAATTCTACAAAACAAAAAGAGCTTAAAACACCCCAACAAACAACTCGGAGAATGAATGAGAGAAACTACTATCAGCTACCCCGATGCTGCGTGGTTTGCTTATTGTGCCCTGTTAATATGTAGGGATTTGTTCTTTATTTATAGTTGCCTGCTATAACAGTCAGTCATGCGCCAGTCTCCAGGCGAGCGACAGCGCTTCGGTGACGCGCACCGACCATCACGTGTAGCCTCAGCGAGACGTTCAGCCCAACAAGTGACAGAAACGCACTGATCCTATGGTCACTTCATCTCACTCGGAATCGGCAAAGCCTGCAAGTCAAAGTATTTCATGCTCCAGTAGTGTCTTAAAAATCAACCACAAATCCATATGATTTTTCTAATAACCTATATATATATATATATATATATATATATATGTGTGTGTGTGTGGCTTTGTTTT